CGCTAGAGTTTGAGGATTTACCGTCGAGACGACTATAGTTCTTGCGGTGTAAACTGTGTATTACCATTAAAATTTTAATTTATTGTTAATTTTGTTAAAAAAATATTTTCCATACAATTATATATTTATTTAGGGTTTATTATCCAATAACTTTAAAATAAAATTTTATAATTTTTTCATTCTAAATTTTAATTAAATATTTAAAAACAAATAAACTTATTAAAAATAAAAATTTGAATAAATGAATTAAATAGTTTAAACCATCCAACCCAACATTTTAATATTAGATTGGTTAAAAAAAATTACTGTTTGTTCCCAAAAATGGGTAAGATGGGTAATTTACAAATAATGGATAATGGCTTGGTACCTAAATGCGATATACCGTTAGATGTTTGGTGTTCGTTTTGTTACTAGTGATCAATTATGAAATTTTTATCTCTTTTTAAATATCTTCAAAACGAATAAGGATCATAGTATTACAAAGGTTCTTATTGAACCTATTACATTATCCAAGGCCGAAAATATTCAATAAGTATTTATTATTATCTACAAAATTGATTAGACTCGGTTAAACCTTCATTCAACAAGAAGCTGACTCAAATGAAAAAATAACTATTTGAAATTTTGGAAGCAACATTTGCAAGGTTGAAATAGACCATATTGTTACCGTAAATAGCACTGGGTCGATAATTTACTTCAAAATTTTATTTATTATTTTAATTTCATAATTTCATAAATACCCACATAATCCATAGGTAAAAATGAGATTTATGAAAGTAATCGAGTATCATATTTCTCATTTCTAAGATTTCAAGTAATTTTTGTGGTAGATTACATTCTAGTAATTGAATGAAACTTTGATTAGTTCAATTTTGGAACGACTCAATTTAGCCGAGATTAAATTTGATTCTAGCCTTATCTCGGAGAGATTAATAGATGTTTTTAAATAGCTTGAAGTAATATATATATATATATATATATATATATATATATATATATATATATATATATATATA